CTGCAGGAAATGAGCAGAGCAGTGGAGGACAGGGAGACTTGGAGATGTATCATCCACAGGGTCACCAGGAGTCAAAGTCAACTTGAGAACAGCTAACAACAACAACAACAACAACAAGAACATCAACAACAAGCCACCTTGAATCCCACTTTGAGAAAAAAGGTAGGATATAAATAAAGTGATTAATCAAGAACAAGAGCCTTTAAATTTTCCACTAACAATGAGTGCCATGTATTGGTGCTGTGACTCCTATTGTATCATTGTGGTATACCTTCTTTCCACTGTCTTCTTTCTACAGCCATTGCTGCTTATTTTTTTAAAAAAAGCTCTAAAGGGTTCTTCATCCTCCTCTAGGGATGTAAATCCTCAACTATTTCATCTCGCATGTGGAGACAAGTAATTATGGTAGTTGTCAAAAACAAACTTTTGGCAGCATTCTCCCTGTATTGGAATGTCCTAAGATATTGTGAGGGATTATTCTGTGTAGAAAGATGCAATGGTTTGTGTAAAAACATGCTTTCTGCATAGAAAAAAAAAGATTCCCTGTGAAATAAGCAGTGTTTTCTACACAGAAAACAGGGGTTTGCACAAAAAACTCCCACATATTTTTCTAAACACAATAATAATTGCATGAAAGCCATGCAGGATTATTGCTGGGATTTTATTCTTCCTGACTGTTTTTCTCAATTGTCAGGATCCCTATTTTTCCAACCTGGGAACCAGAAAGTAATAACAAATATCACTACTGTCTGGAGCAGAATTCAAAGGTGTGTGGTAGTGAGTGAAGCTTGCCACATCCTGACTGTGCCAATGAAATCAGTTCCAACAGCAAAAGTTCAGATAGATTTTCCCCGTGGGCAGTAAACTGGGAAGACACAATCACCTGGTCATGGTCTTTTCCAGCATGGCAAGGATGATACCTTGTGCTCCTGTGCAAATTCTATTAACTATTTCTAATTTCTGTCTGTAACCTAATTTCTGTAAATTAGCACATGTAAATGTCAAGCAGTTCTGCATCCCCTTTTTTGTTCCTTTTGTTGATGATGCATTTCCTTTTGTAGGAACATGGTCACCTTAGCTTGAGAAGATTGCCAAGACAGTTTCTGTTTAAAGAAACTTCATAGAATCATAGAGTTGGAAGAGACCACAAGGGCCATTCAGTTCAACCCCCTGCCATGCAGGAACTGAAAATCAAACCATTCCCAACAGATGGCCATCCAGCATCTGATTAAAGACTTCCAAAGAAGGAGACTCCACCACTCTCTGAGAGATTGTGTTCCACTGTCAAACAGCTCTCACTGTCAGGAAGTGCCTCCTAATGCTGAGGTGGAATATGTTTTCCTGTAGCTTGCATGCATTGTTTGAGTCCTATTCTCTGGAGCAGCAGAAAATAAGCTAGTTCCCTCTTCAATATGACATCCCTTCAAATATTATCATATCCCCTCTTAATTGTCTCTTCTCCAGGTTAAACATACCCAGTTCCCTCATAGGGCATGGCTTCCAGACCCTTCACCATTTTAGTCGCCCTCCTTTGGACACGCTCCAGTTTTTCAACATCCTTTTTGAATTGTGGTGCCCAGAACTGGACACAGTATTTCAGATCCGGCCTGACCAGAGCAGAATACAGTGGCACTATTACTCCCCTTGATCTAGATACTATACTTCTATTAATACAGTCTAAAATTGCATTGGCCCTCACTAAAAAGAAAAAGAAATCCAGTTCATTTTACCAAGAAATCTATATTTTCTCAAACCAAAAGGGTGAAGAAATGAAAAAAAAATGTTTTGTTTTTTTTAAATCTAAAGGCACAATCCAGTTGCTTCTGCTCCAAGCCTATTCATTTCCATGGGACCTATTTGAAAAGAGAACTTAGTGGCTTGTGCTTGTGCAATTTGATAGGAGTAGCCACAACAAATAGTTTAATGGTGTCTGCCTCAATATTTTGTGTGTGTGTGTATGTGTGTGTGTGTGTGTGTGTGTAAAAGTGGCATGAAACAGTTCCTTGTGCTTACTATGTGATTCCCTTTACATGAGAAATCATGTTAGCCCTTATGGCACTACATTGTGGCAAACATGTTTTTATGTCACAAAAGCCCAGAATTAACAAGTGAACTTGACCTAGCTTTTCTTTCTCTTGCTTGTTCCCCCCCTGTTCCCCCCACCCTCCCAACCTTTGTGCTAAGTGTGTCGAGGTAGACAGGGCTTGCGCTTCTCAGCTTGGATTCAATTTGACATGTTATGGGGAGCTCTGGCAGGAATGTGTGCTGCTAAGTAGGTCACTACAGAGTTCTGATAATTAGCATATTGGTAGGCCACAGAGCTGACTATCAGTCATAAGGGGACAAGCCAAGAAGATGCAGGAGAAGAAGAAAAATATGATTTGGTGTTATTGTTTTATACTTGTAGCGGAAGACTCATATTCTTCTACAAGCCTTTCGAGCACATTTTTATGTTATTTTTTTTAAAAAAACACCCATTGCTCCCCCTCCCCTCCTCTGCAGCAAATGTTCTTAGCCCCAAGCATTGCCTGAGGCCATAGCCAAGGAAAGTTGCCCAGAGCTCATGATGAATGTTTGCTGACTTCTGTGGTCAATGTTCCTCAAGAGTAAATGCTAAAGAACATATGGCCTGCACTTTGTGCTTTTAGCTTGAAGGGTTAGGGCAAGGAAAGCAGCAAGAGAACAAAAATACATCTTTGAAAAGAAGGATTTTAAATGATGATCATTTCCCCCACCTTTTTTTTTAAAAAAAACATCTCTTCCCTGCTTGTAGCAGATGAAAATATTAATGTTATTGTGGATTGAGAGGTTAAATGCATTTTTCCTTATTTGCTTTGTGACTAACAAAATTGAAGTTTATTTGGAGAATAAAGCTATTTATTCTTAACAGGAAGACTCAGAAAATGGTAGAATTTTGACATGTGTAAAGTATGCAGAAACTACCATGCCTGATTACCAATGGGCAGTCGTTTGCTTTTTCAGACTATCTGTTCATTTTCCAAAAGCTGGCCTCAAGTGATACACCTCATAAAAGGAAATACATATCCATTTCATGTATACACCCACATTCACAGAGCTGTTCATATCACTGGGCAAAGGGAGGCAACCACCCCAGACAATATGCCAGTAAGGCATGTGTTCTTGTTTGGCCCACAGGCAACTCTTGAGAGGACTAGAAGCAGTTGCAGCAGAACACCATGGGGTTCCTGCAACTGTCCGTCACAAAGTGCCTTGGTTTCAGGAGATGGCTGGACACAGCTCCTAATAACTTCAGAAATCCCTATGGTTGTGCAGATCCTGGCTTTTGTGTTTTTGGGACTCACATCAGGAGTTGTAGGAGTGATGGACTCATATCAGGAGCTATGATGATGGAACTCTGTCATTGTAACTATGTCTCCTAGTGTTGTATCTTGGCTACCATGTTTTAACTTAGCACAAAAATGAAGCCAAACTCCACGCCAGTCAAGCATTTAATGGGAGGGCATTCCACAACCAG